TTATCGTGAACAACTGCCTTGAATTTCTGCTTCCTTTCTTGTGCTAATAAACTGTGCTAAAGACATCTTGCTCTCTCCCTTCTGCAAAGCCCAGGCACCCCCTCCACATTGCAGACTCAGACCCCTTTAGCTTTAGTAAGTCAGGTCTGAAACAGAGAATTTAGTCCAAAGAATAATCAAAATATTATTTGTCTAATGATAGCCATAGGTCAAAAACATTCACAGGTGAAAAAATATCTCAAAAATCTAACACCCAAAGCCTACAAGTTGTCACAGGCCCTAAAGGTCCCCAAATTTCACAGAGCCCTGACCCTCCTATCTGTCCTCTTTGTCGAATCTCTTGCAGTAAAATCCCATAGCTTGCAATCCAAACCAGACCTGACTCATACTGATGCTCCCTCCCCTACCCCTTGCATAAATAGAATTTAAAAGGGAGTTTCCAGCATGACCTAGTGGATAGAGTACTGTAAGCAGAAACAAAGACAGTCTCAGCTGTGCCACCAGTACAGCTATGCTCTAATGGGTAAGTCATCTAATCTCTGTGAGCGTCAGTGAAGAGGAGTGCTAACATCTTTTTCAATTCTAGTGCCCTATGAATGCTACAAATGTACCTGAAAATCCAGAGATCTGAAACGAATGAGGATTTAAGATATCATGAAAAGTTTTTCAGATTAGGAGCCTAAACTCAGAGATTTGAATTCTAATGTTAGCTTAGCCAAGAACTAGCTTTATGACCCAGAAAGTTACCTAAGGGGAACCTATCTTCCACAACAAGAATTAAGAAACCTATCCTGCATATCTTCGGGAATACTGAGAGGGCCAATTAGATATAATGAATGTGAAAGCATTTTGTAAACCATAAAACAGTATCTAAACATACCTTGCTATCATTATTTATTGTCCTCATCAGTAGCAGTAATATTCTCAAACCCTAAGAAGCAATGGCTTAGTGTAAATTATTCAATCTCTCTAGTATTTCATTCTCTTCAAGTGAGAAATAAAAAGATAGAATTATATAGTTCTAAATTCTTTCCAACTACAAACTTCTGACTCTCTATGAGTCAGAATGGAGGAACATAGCAGGAGATAAATACAAAAATATTCATGTCCTTTGAAAACACACAACTGCAAAACATACCACAAAGGAACAAGACTAATATTGCCAAGGGGTAGCACTAAATTAATTACTTTCAATTTATTTGATACTCTTATCAATTATTTGAGTTGAAGACTACTATGTCCATTTTATTTTTAATCTTAATTTTGCAGAAGAGAAACTGAAGCTCAGAGAAATTAACTAGCTTCCCAAGGTCACCATAGCTAGGGAATGGTTATGTTAGGGATTGAACTTGGGCAGTTTAATTTCTGCTGTATCCCTAGACACTGTCCTCAACACTTCTACATAGCTTATAGACATGGTTACTGCTCAGGTCTACAGAATTCCAAAACCACCTGTCTCTGTGAGATTCCTTGATGCTTTCCATCTCATAATAGATTTAGAACATATCTGTTATTAGCTGTAGATCTTCTGGATCAGATCCTCATCTCAAGGAGGCTCTCTGTACCCTAGTTGGTTCAAGAGTGTAGGCCTGGTACACATCTCATAGCCAGTTAGTAACTTGGCCCAAGAACAGGTCACTGGGCCAAGTTCAGCTGAATGTACTGAAAATTGTGTGTGCCAGGAAACTAGGTCTCTTTATTGACCAAGTCTTTTAAAGTACCAGATGTTTCACTTGTCTCCCAGAGAAGACACCTACCAAGACCCTCCATTTTGATGACTAGAACAAACCAAGGCCAGATCTTTATTTCAAAAGAAGAAAGACCTCTACAACCAAGAAAACTTTATGAAATATGAGCATTGTTTCTGGAAGTTCAACTCCCATAAGCTTTTCAAGTATATCAACTCTACCATAATATTATTTCCAAATCCACTAAAGAAAAATTCTATTAACCAAAAGTGTCTTCATCTGTGGTTTTTATTTGTGGTCTATTGGGTGCCTTAGTTTTTTGTTTTTGTTTTTTGTTTTTTTCTTTTTTTGGTGGGGGGGTGTTGGGGGGATAGAAAAGTCATCATCTGTATTTTCAGAAACAGAAAGAATATAAAACATATAAAAGGCTGGTTACATGGAAATTTCATGAAATGTTAATTCTTCTAGGAATAGATGTTCAGTGTCACAGCTGGATCAGCCTCTAGTTTCCCCTTCCCAAAAGCCTTGTCAGAGAGGACAGAGGAAAGATAGAGGAGCATACCTCAAGATAGCTTGCTCCTGTTACCTTTCCCGCCTGTCTGAAAGGCCTAAATCGGATTCGTCTTTCAAGGTTGGCTTTATGGATGGTGTAATTTCATCCCTATCCCCCAAAACCATCTCCCATTTGTTCCAGGATGCCCAAATCCCCTTAATAGAGAACAAAGACTTTCATTTCACAATAAGAGATAAAAGGCTTAGAATGAAAATGTCTGGTTGATGTAAGACCAAGACTAAAACAAATTCATACCACTCTGAAGTCAGGCAGTCAGCCAGCAAGAAAAAGGAAATTGACTGGTATCAGAGGTATTCACAGTCATTGGTAGAGGAAAAAGGTTGCAGAGTAAATACGTGGCTCCCGAAAGGGTTGAAGGATGTCAGCTCATGGCTTCTGTCCTGGTCTGGTGAATAGGACCTGGGTCCCAGCCCCATCCTAGCTGTCCCTTGTCTTGATAATAAACAACCAGCCCCACCCAGCTGAATTTGAAAGGGGACATTCCTGTGCCAAAACACTTTCTATATGAGGAATCAGAACCCTCTGTTGAACAGATAAATGCCTTGTACTGGTGGCCTTCAAGAGTCGAATGAGTTATAGGTACATACTTGTAATTCTGTCTTTATTTCTGATATGGCCTCACGACATTAGCCTGACTGATTAGCATGACATTTACCTGACGAAGAGAATCTAAAGGGTTTTACTTAAGTGTCTCTAGACACTTCTATAATCCTGAATCAGTTCACTAACTTACCTTCACATTTATTTTTATAGACAAAATATCTATCCCAATCTCTAATGATTCACCTCACGATCTTGAATGTGCTAAGAAAAAATCTCCAGCTAATTGTAAATAGTGCTAAAATAGTAAAAGCAAGCACTAAGTACAAATTGTTGCTGTTCTAATGAGATCACTTGGACACAGGAAGGGGATCATCACACACCGGGTCCTATTGTGGGGTGGGGAGGAGGGGAAGGGATAGCATTAGGAGATATACCTAATGTAAATGACGAGTTAATGGGTGCAGCACACCAACATGGGACACGTATACCTATGTAACAAACCTGCACGTTGTGCACGTGTACCCTAGAACTTAAAGTATATTTAAAAAAAAAAAAAAAAGACATTGGTTTAACGTTTATACACCAAATCTTACCTTTGTTTAGGATACTTTTCCTGACAATCTCGTTTTGAGTGGGCCTTTATTCATGTCCTTTTTGTTTCAGCAAATAATGGTGTTTAGATCTAAGTTCTATGCCTTGGAGATGTAAACTTTCACCTGTCATCCCTTTGAAGGTGTAAATTTAGGGTTGCTTAACTAACAACAGTCTAGAGCAATGGAACAGGTAATCAAGAGATTAATAGTTTAAAGGGGGAAGAAAATTATTTTTAAATTGGCAAATAAAAAACTATATAAAGCTAAAAAAAAATTGTTGCTGTTCTAAACCCCATACACAAACTAGCTCATTCATTCCTCAAAATAACTCTACAACAAGGTAGGTACAATGATTATCCACATCTGCATTTGCACATGAGAAAATTAAGGCACAGAAAGACTGAGTAACTTGACTGAGTTCACACAGACAGCAAGTGGCAGGGCCAGGACATAAATTGGGCTTTCTGACTTGAGTCTTGTTCCTAGCCACTATATTACACCACAACTGAGCTATTCAGACAACTGGAAATCACTTGAGTCGTTTCTTATAAGAAACCGAGAGGACTCATTCAATCATCCTGATTGAAAATCATTGACAGACCTGAGGGAGGAATTGTTTGCTGTGTTAATAATCACCTACTTGCAAATCTGAAAAAGAAAAATCTTTTCTTCAACAAAACTCAAAAACTGAATTTGATAGAAAAATGTTTTTCCAGTTGAAGACAGGTCATTTAGTAGTGCCACTGGGATACTTACCCACAGTTTGATTCCTGCTTAAAACAGTTCTCCCGGCTGGGCGCGGTGGCTCACACCTGTAATCTCGACATTTTGGGAGGCTGAGCCAGGTGGATCACCTGAGGTCTGGAGTTCGAGACCAGCCTGGCCGACATGGTGAAACCCCATCTCTACCAAAATTACCAAAAAAATTAGCCAGGCGTGCTGGTGGGCACCTGTAATCCCAGCTACTCAGGTGGCTGAGGCAGGAGAATCGCTTGAACCTGGGAGGCAGAGGTTGCAGTGAGCCGAGATTGCACCAGCACACCGCAACCTGGGCAACAGAGCGAGATTCCGTCTCAGAAAAAAAACAAAAACAAAAACAAAAAAATAAAACAGTTTTCCTGTATTTCCCAAAATAGAAATATTTTCAATAAATCATTGATTCCACTCCCAATCTACTTATTTCCCATGCAAAAGACTCAAGGTAATATCTACCACAAGCAAGATAAAATCATTTCAGATACTACTTTCTAGTTACAGAGTATAGAAATTATCTCTGGAGAACTATATTTTGTTACACATGCTAAACAACCGGAGGTCACTAGGGCTCATCTGAAATAAGACAGTGGAACTCAATTAGTCTATTCCCAAATGACTAATGCAATGCTCACATTTTTTGGACAATTGCTATTAAGCAATGCAATTGTCCTTATGAATTAAAGAAACTCTATGTTACTTCCTGTCTAAAAGGATTAATGGTTTACTACTAGTTACCAGTTGATGTGGTGCTTAAGGTTCCTCAGGGCTAATGACCTGGTAGGGCTTACAGTACTATTCCAGGCCAATCATTGCACAGTCATCTCCTTCAAGAAAGTTTCTAACCAATAAGCAGAAGCCTAACATTCTGGGCTGAAAGCTAAGTGCCCCATATATTCCTGGGTGACTCTGAAGCAGGTTACGTTTCCTCAGAAGAAGGCTCCTTGGTGGTAAGTTGAACATTTCTGGGCAGGGTAAAAATAATACTTAATATTGTGTTATAAAGTAGATTCTGACGAGTAGGTGAGGGTGTCAAGCACTATGAAGAGAAGTGTTTTCTAAAAACTAAAAAGACAATAGCTTCATTTACAATTTCCCCAGGAAAGGATACTTGAGAAATGAAGTTGAGGGTTTTTTTAATGCAAATACACAGCTTTAATAATTGCATGAGAGAGACAAGTTTTTATTTATATTTATCTCATGTTTCTAGAACTTCCCTTGAAAAGCTGAATTTTAAGATATAAATAAGGAAATATAATTCTAAAGAAAGTGTTTTAAGACAGGCCAGTACTATGAAATTGTGAAAATTATTGTGAAGTCTATTCATCTCACAGTCAAATATAAACCTCTCAATTATTGAGGACATTTCATTAAAATAAGTCAGTAGAGCATGATTATTTTACCTAAATATAACAGAGGACTTTTTTAAGGTACATGACTTATTTCTTATAGATATATGACTCATTTCTATATTCATATTTTTAAGGTATCATGTTAGTATTTGCAAAACAAACAAATGTACGAGCAAAGGAAATATTTGGATCTTGTAAAAGATCCAAGAATTCACAGAGACATCATCTTGATGGGATGTATTTTTTAAATGCATATTCTAAAACATAATTTTTCACTTGTTGTATAGGTAGCAAAATTTGGAACCAATTTATTAGTTGAACATGTACAGATTTTTATAAACTAGCAAGAATATATTTTTTAGAAGTTTTGTCTTTCATTTTACATGTCATATAGTGTATATTCCTATCAATCAAAATACTTTGCAGTTTCAGTATTTAGTACTGTCAGTGAACTATGTCTTAGGCTAAGAACATTCTCATCAGGTCTTACTGTATTCAATAGGTAAAATTACATCTGTCCTAAAGTCATAGTGAACTCCAGTGCACTGAATCCAAGCAAATACTACAAACACAGGTAACATTTTAATGACTGCATTGGAAATTCTGTTTGCTGGAACAGTTTTCCAGTTATTTATTATTGGATTTAATTACTCACATGACTAAGGTTCCTGGACAGATAAATTTTAGTGAAATGAGTTTAAAATTGTATGTCTTGTAAAACAAAACTGTTCCCTTATATCCCACCCTCACCTAAATATATTTGTATTACTTGAAACAAGTTTAATTTTCTTTTTCAATGACAGCTTTGAAGAACATCCTGAAGATTATATAGGAGACAATATATCAAGAATTTATTTATTGAATGGTCTAGAACAAAAGCCAGGAGCTCCCTAATGGAAGCACATTAGTGTTTATTTTGATGAAGAAATATATAGATTTTTTAACACAACCATAAAGTAGATAGCTCAGTAAAAAAATCAATTTTGGAAGATGTCACTGAACAACTCTTCCAACATATTTCTGGATTCAGTGCCCAGTAATACCAATCGCTTTCAAGTTAATGTCATAAATGAGAACCATGAGAGCAGTGCAGCGGCAAATGACAACACTGACCCACCACATTATGAAGAAACCTCTTTTGGGGATGAGGCTCAGAAAAGACTCAGAATCAGCTTTAGGCCTGGGAATCAGGAGTGCTATGACAATTTCCTCCAAAGTGGAGAAACTGCTAAAACAGATGCCAGTTTTCATGCTTATGATTCTCACACAAACACACACTACCTACAAACTTTTGGCCACAACACCATGGATGCTGTTCCCAAGATAGAGTACTATCGCAACACCGGCAGCATCAGTGGACCCAAGGTCAACCGACCCAGCCTGCTTGAGATTCATGAGCAACTCGCAAAGGTGAGCTTGAAGGACACAGGCAAGTGTCCTCCCTTATTCATAACTTCAGGTCATTTCCTTCTCTTTCATTACACTATGAATGAATGTGAAAGAGTCAAATGGAGAGGTCTATTCCAAACACTATCCACCTTACTTACAAAACTGTCTCTAGTTCCCAGTAAACAGAAAATACACAAAAAAGTGTTTCACAGATGCTTTTTTCTTTGGATTTTTTTTTTTTTTTTTTTCTTGAGACAAAGTCTTGCTCTGTCACCCAGCCTGAAGTGTGGTGGACACTGCAGCTTTGAATTCCTGGGCTCAAGCAATCCTCCCACCTCAACCTCCTGAGCAGCTGGGACTACAGGCATGCACCACCACACCTGACTGACTTTTTTATTTTTTATAGAGACAGAGTCTTGCAGTGTTGCTCAAGCTGGTCTCGAACTCCTAACTTCAAGGGATCCTCCCATCTCAGCCTCCCAAAGAGCTGAGATTACAGGCATGAGCCACTCTGCCCAGCTCCACAGATGTTTTCTGACTTAGGATAGAGAACTAAAGAATTAACTCTAAACGTTAGGCAATATGTTGTACCTTGCTTATGATGATAGCCTACTCAATTTACACTTGGTTAAACATGTCAAACTGAATATCAAGCTGGTTTCACGTCAGTATTAATGTCTCTATGTCCATCGTATAAAAAGCAAAACATTTGTGCTTGCTGTAGTTAATACTGTGGGTGCCAGCCTTTAGTGCATAGGGGTAATTTTATATTCTTTAAAGAGAGGGCAGAGATTTATAAGATTCAGCATTTTATCCCTTCCTCTTTAAAACTTTGCCTGAGGCTCCTGAATGTGCTTAAGCATATAAAAATAACTAAATTAAATTTAAGTACAGAAGCAGCAGAAGTGGCTAAACTTTTCATTATTTAAGAAATACAGCCAGGGTTCCCAAGTGTGTTAGAAGTATGATGCAGCACTTTTTCTAATCTTTTTTTTTTTTTTTTTTGAGACAAAGTTTCTCTTTTGTTGCCCAGTCTGGAGTGCAATGGTACAATCTCGGCTCACCGCAACCTCTGCCTCCCAGGTTCAAGCGATTCTCCTGCCTCAGCCTCCCGAGTAGCTGGGATTACAGGCATGCACTACCACACCCAGCTAATTTTTTTGTATTTTTAGTAGAGACAGGGTTTCTCCATGTTGGTCAGGCTGGTCTCAAATTCCCGACCTCAGGTGATCAGCCCACCTCAGTCTCCCAAAGTGCTGGGATTACAGGTATGAGCCACCACACCCAGCCTCCAATCTTATAACTTAGTAGATTTCTTCTTCCATAACTTTCTCCAAAATATACTGATCAACTTTATCTTCCTGCTCTTCCAGACCAGTTTGGAATAAACATCATTCTTTATGAAATATAATTACCTGCTAAAAAGAATGATTAGATGTCACATATTCAAATGAGTTTACTCTTGCCCAAGTTTTGAGGAGAGAGAAGAAAATGATTGAAACAGTTTCTTTTGTGTGCATTCATCCATTCATTCCTTCAATATTTTTTTAAATGGTCATCCACTCCAGAAAGTCTAGGAAGACTACTCTTAGGAAAGATGCTAATAAAGGGGAAAATCTTTCTTTAGTTTCTGCTCACCTTTCCTTCCTCAAGAAAATCCATCTCTAAAATGTATTTGCCTTGGCTGCTACGGTCCCTGACTCTGGGTCCTACCACCAGAGACTGAGTGACGTCCTGAGGAGTTCATGTTTTTAATTTTGTTTCCTTATCCCCTTTCCCCACCAAACCTTGCTAGTCCTGTGTACTAAATAGGCAACAGTCTGCCAAATGGCTGGTTTCCTTATAGGCCTAAGATTTAGATTTTATCTGGCATATTTGATGCTTTAATCAAAAGAAGTTAGCAATGCAACAATTTCAGACAACATGGTAGCTCCATGAAGATTTTTGAGAAGGGAGGCAATCTGAACTCTTGAAATCCAGCTGAGATGTCACTGTCCTTTTCTGTGTCAGGAAAGGAAAGGAAAATGGCAGAGAGAAAAAGGAGAAGAAAAATGAAAAGAAGGTTCACAGAAGCAGCCACCAGGAGTTTCCAAGACATGGAAAAGGCAGAAAGAAATTTAGGGCATCGTAAAAAGATATTTCAATTGTTTCTGAAGAATTAAAATGAATCAAAGTTCTTTTTTAAAAAGACCTGAAATTCTATCCCACAATACTCTACCACATCATGCATGATAATTTTTAAAGCTGCCTCCTTTTTTAAAGTTAGTGTCACAATTTAAATATTCTCATTCACCTACTTCCCCAATTTACAACAAAAGAAAATAGAATTCTAACTTCATTAAAAAAGAAATGGAATAAATTCACATTGTTCTTAGGACTGACATTCCAGACAGAGAAAAGTAGCTTATTTATAATTGCAAAAGCCATGGCTTATGTAAATCTTTCAATAAAGGGAGAAAAGCTCTAAAGGATCAGGAGTTTAGAAAGCCATCTAAAGGCCGGGTGTGGTGGCTCATTCCTGTAATCCCAGCACTTTCAGAGGCTGCGGCTGGTGGACTACCTGAGGTCAAAAATTCAAGACCAGCCATAACCAACTGGTGAAATCTCTTCTCTACTAAAAAAAAAAAAAAAAATTAGCCAGGCATGGTGGCACATGCTTGTAATCCTGGCTACCTGGGAGGCTGAGGCAGGAGAATTGCTTGAACCTGGGAGGCAGAGGTTGTGGTGAGCTGAGATCATGCCACTGTACTCCAGCCTAGGCAATGAGAGTGAAACTCCGACTCAAAAAAAAAAAAAAAGAAAGAAAAAGAAAGCCATCTAAATGACCACACAGTAGACATGTTATAGCTGCATTAGATAAATGTAATAGCTGTTTGGAATATTGCATCACTTTTGAAGAGATAAAATGAAACTAAAGACTGAACTTTGACTTAAAGCATTTTTTTTCTTAGACACGAAGGAATGGCAAATTAAAATATTAAAAATTAGGCCTAAGCTCTGAATAATCATTTTGAACGCGTATAGTAATAAGCTACTCTTTGTATAGACTTGATGCTCGGTTATCTAGGAAACTTCATCTTGATTAAATCATGAAGAGGTATCTACATAGCCAAATTGGGAGTAGAATTCAGATTCAACCACACAATCTACAATGTGCACATTTCTGCAGCCAGACCCATTCTAGTGTTGCTGAAATTGTACGGCCTAGCCTGCCTCTCCATGTGTAGCAGCCTGGGCCTTCTTCAGTTTGTCTCTTTATTGTTTGCTAGTGAATTTGACTCAGCTACTCTCTTACTTTTCCCCCCTCAAATATAAGAAGTGAAAACCTGCAATGTGCTGTAGCTATGCTGCCACCTCCTTGTGGCCCTTGACATTTTTATGGTAGTTCCTCAAACCACAACTAGAAATCATCAACAGAACAAACATTATATGATTATACTCAGACCCTTCACAGATTTTGTATGCAAAAAATATAAATAATAGTGTTTACTTAAATCATTTAAAAGTAGAAGGTAATTGACATAGTATAAGCTAGACAATACTTTTTGTAATTGTGATTTATAGTGCTTTTAAAAGTTATAATAGCAATAGCACATTCACACTGAATGGCAGAACATGGTTAGTCAGAAAACCAATTGGATTTTGTGTAAATTTTGGTTATAATTTCCAAGCGAGAAAAAAGTTACATGACAAAATTATTCTAATAGGTAAAATAAAAAACAGGTTTGAAAGACATTATTTTAAGGCTCTACCTTAAATGAAATTATAGGTGTGATAGATATTGACAGAATTTGTAATCTCAATGACTTGAGATCATAATTGAATAAATTATTTTTATTATCTATGTTAGTAAAGAGCTAAATACCTACCTATACTGGTGACCATGAATTATAAATTTCTGAAAACTCTACTTAAGAGCAGGAGAAACAACTATCCTTTACTTGCTCTGTACAACTCTTGTACGAGCTACATAACTTCTACTTGTCTTGCAAGATGCTTGTGAACATTGGTTTCTATGAGTATAAAGTCTACCCTTACAATGGGTAAGAATTCAATAAATGATCATTGATGATAGTGCTAATTTTTACACTAGCTTTTTATTTTAAAAGTAAAATAAATACTAATAAAATATTTAACAAGTACTAAAAAATACGTAATAAAGTGTTTCTCGTCTAACATCAATATTCAGTTATTCTCTCCAGGACAATCATTACTGACAGTTTCTTGTAAATCCTTCCAGAAATGTTCTAGGCTTATATAAACATACACATATATCTATAAATATCTGGATTCCTATCAATCTAACTTTCTGTTTACATTTATTTTCAAACATGTACTAGAACGTATTTTCCACATTGTTCTGCACTCTGCAGTTTTTACCAAACATACCCTGGAGATCTTTCCATATTAAAGCATATGTAATAATTATTTGGCATCTGGCAAAGATTAATCTAGTGCCTTTACTTTGTAAAGAGAATTTTGCTTTCAGTATCCAGCCTAATTCCTGTGGCCAACTTTTCATACAATTCCTTACTACAGGACTAACCAAAATGGAACTCCTTTGCAACCTTACTAACCACCATTGTTGTTAGCATTTCAGAAAAAATATAATTTAAAAGGATTCAAGGAAATACAGAGACTTTCTATCAAAGCCATGTGTCATTGAAATAAGCTATCTATGAAAAGTATAAAATACTATAAAATTAAGACAAATGTTTTTCTTAAAGAAGCTAACTCTATAGAAACTAATCCAAAACAAAAATCAATGGAATGACTATATATTTGGATCATTATGCTGTTTACAACTACAAACAATTTGTAAATAAAAGCATTAGCTTTAAATGCAGTGTAGTAATAACCAACTTTTTATGGAGAACTTGTTATGTTTCAGACACTGTGCTCGCACTTAAAAAATTCTTACTCAATCCTTAACAACAATGCCTCAAGGGGGGTACTATTATTATTGCCTTTTTGTGGATGGTGAAAGTTTTATAAAATGCTACAGATCTTTTAGAAGAGAA